TAATTCACACGATTCTTGTTTAATGCAATAATACTTTCAATTATTGACTATTTTTAAAGTAAAACTTCGACACAAATATCATATATTAACTTAAGAGTGACTCTCACCTGGAATTCCATAGTTTGAGCACAACTGCAAAGTATAGATCATAGAATCCAATGGGATATTGGCGTCAATTATAACTAGTGGTGCACTACAGATGTCATCATTGAATTGTGATATCTAGCAATAATAAAGATAAATTACTTTTTACTACAATTACAAGTTTTAATTAATTACTATATAACTATATAAATATATAAATTACAATATATACACAATGATATATTAGAATTTTATATTGATCATATTTGTAGTAAATACAAGAGTGAATTTCTATTACATGCTGTTTAGTAATTAGTTGATGAGCTCTCATGTCTCCGACAATGAGACCGCACTCTCCCTTCCCGTCAACGATAACACTGCACGAAGAGGTGGCTATTGTTTCCGATACGTGAATTCCTTTAGGATTCTGTACAAAACGTTTAATATTTAATGCATTTAATTACATATGCTTTACATTATTTTCAAAACAATAAACCAAGGATTACTTTTAGTGGGTTATTATGGAGAACAGTTTTGCCATTTGGGTCGTTGCCGATGGCAGACAAAAACAATGGTTTGCTTCCCAGTCTTGAGAGGCCATCAAATATGTTACGTCCGACGCCTCCCAAAGAGTGTCTAATACGACCCTTATATGTACTTCCGTTCAACTATTAATTAAACACATTTATTAAAAATATATTTTTAACCTTACATACAATAACACGTATGACAGGAGTTATATTTATTTACATTATATTAAATTTAATTGAATTTTTTTATTGAAAAAAATGAATTTAGATTATTGTAACGAACTCTTGCTTTTATAAAATGCTAATTGCATTAAAGGTTTTTAAATTTTCAGAAAGACTACTTTTTCCAAAAAGTTTAAGTTTTTAAGTTTTTAAGTTGTCGCTACTTTATTACAGGTAATTTAAATATCATAATATATTAAAGTATTTTTAACCACAATTCAGATAATCAGATAGATTTATCATTGTCCATAGGATTAGCATTACTTATAGACTCAGCATTACCCATAGACTCAGCATTACCCATGTTAAGATATAGCCATAGACTAAAGCTGTAATGCCATGTTAAATCCCATAGAGGGGGTGGGGGCGGGAGGGAGAGGGTGGCCGAACGCCCATATAAACCACATTATTCATGGCTGAATTGTGATTAAAAATGATATTTGTTACTAAAATCTATATATGATTTAAAATGACACAGTTTCAAAATCAACATGAATAGCTGAAAATTGTTCATAAAAACGAATAAAACCAAGACATGATCGAAAATAACTTAGGGGGGTTAGACGAACGATCATATAAATCATGTTATTCAAAGCTGAATTGTGGTTAAAAATATTTGTAAAAGTTAAATTATAAAAAGCAATATTCTAATAATTGTCTCGATTTTATTAGTTTTTGTTCATAAAAACAATGGAATTTAGCATTAATTTAAATAATTCATAAAATTGAACAATGAATTTAAACATTTCAATTCAGTCAATGTGTGTGAATTTAAAGACTAGAATTTGTTTATAAAACCAAAGTTTATAAAAACGAGGGAATAGTGTAAAATAGCATGATTAACATGAATTCATTTCATACTTTTGTAAACATGACAGTCAGACGGGTACATAAATTTTATAATGAATGTCATCATTAATATTGGTATTAAATTGAATTGATGTGTAATTAACAACAGATAACCGCTAATTATATTTGTTCAAAATATAAATTATAAATAATGTAGTAATAAAGTGAAGTTTATTTTATAGACTCAAAATCAATTCCTTATGTATTAATCAATAGAATGACGGTATGAGTGAATGGATGTTAAAGAATATAGTAATAGACATAATGCAAGGCATTGACAATTCCTAAGAACACAATGAAAAACATGATATAATGTATTATATTTGCATTTTTGATGGATTGGGAAAATGCATCAAAACTTATAAAAACTGAATGAAAATCTCTCAGCATTTCAAACAAATGTTGAAAAAATACAAATTGACTGAAAGGACATATTTTATTCAAAGATAGTTTAAATTTCCGATCTTTTGGACTATAATATTGATTCGAAGTGTTATTTATTTTATTGAATAAAATGTCTAAAAAATTCTTGTTTCAAATTATATTCATAAGTATTGAAAAGCATTGAAAGCATAGCTTTGTATATGAAGTAATGTTGCGTCGGATCTGATGGTAAGAAATAGTGGATGAATGAGAGGAATGGATGCGCAGGTCTTATGGATCGTATCGATAGTCTCCGTCTCCGGCGACAACTGAACAACTGATGAACGCATGAACGCAATCACAAGAAGACACCAAATACTCGTCTATACATGTATTGAATAATACTTTTATGAATCCAAATGTTTAATGCATTTGATATGTGTTTGGCTTAAAACCTGAACTCAGACTCTCTTTCTTTTCTTATGTGTGAAAACGACTTACGACTGACTCTCTGTTTAAAGAGAGAGAAAATGAATTCAGCAATTCTTTGTCGGCAAAGAATACATACAAAACTCACCCTATGTTTGTCACTCTGTATTTCACATACATCTCAAATACTGTACTAAATTGACACACATTTTACTGGCTTTCAATTATATTCATCATTCATTTCAATGCAATTATTCTCCGATCATATTTTGCACACATATTGTTCACGTAAGTCATGGAAATGTTTTTCATATAAATTCTCTAATCCCCTAATAATCCATTTAGTATTTATAGTGCAAAATATGTATTGTGTATGTGTTGTATGCAAAGTCTGGTTCATAAATAACTCAATTATAAATAAATATGTTAAGCGAGAATTGAGATATTATTTTAAATCTCTAAAACATATGAATTTTAAACAATTGCACTAAAAAGTAATTTCGACGACAATAAGGACTGCAATTAAGTGTAGAGTTTTTAAAAAAATTGTTCACAATTTAATCAATACTAAAGTTAATTAAAGAAGAAAACCACTTTTATTTGTTATTATCGCTAATTAAATCAAACTTTAACAATGTGTTTGCTCACAACAATTATAAGTTATATTTTTTCTGTACGTTTAGGTCTATCTTTTTATCATTGTATATAACTTAATGTTAATCACAACCATTTCTGTGATTTAGATTTGCATTTATAATTTTATCAGAATTTTGTTCACTCCTTTAGAAAACATTAAAAAAAGTTATGCTTAGAAATGTTATAAATTCTGAATTTGATTCAAAAATATATTTCAATTCATTTTATATTTAATGATTTGCTTTAAATGACAAAATAGAGAGAAATACAATTTTGTGCAAATGATTAATAGTAGAATTCTTAACAAATTTAATGCTTTTTATGAGCAGTATATACTTTATTATTAATATAACAGTACACTATAGTGTATACAGTTAAGTATGAATGCTATTACTGTTGGGTAATACAACAATTATGGATATTATGTACAAAAACCGAAACTAAACACTTTCCATAAGATTTAATAAGAAAATGAAAGGATTTTGTTATCAAATAAAAGTAAAATTATTTTTGTCACTAAATTGTTTTGAGTTAATTAAAGATATGTTCAGGTCTTAGGTATTATATGAATGTAATTATATTCTTAATTTTGGATTGTTTTTTGATATGTATATTAAGAACCCTTTACTAAAATCTTCACTCATTCATATAATATTGTATTTTTAAATAATTCACTCAACACTGTATAGAAAATTGAAATATCAATTTCATAACAAAATCCACACAAATGTGTATTTATAAAACACAAATAGAAAACAATCCTATTTTGGATAAGCTATTGAAGAAACTGATAATCAATTTGAATACAATCGCTATACTGTTCAGTAATATAACTTGAATTGTGGAAAATATTGAATGACATATTTTTATGGCTAAATAAACTAATTATTATTATCTGACATAATATTATTGAACAATAAAACAAATATAAAATGATAACAATTTCTGTATCAAAATTAATTAATTATTCATTATTTATAATATTTACAATATAACTGTTTATTCCATAATTTATTGCAATTTTAATGCAAAGACCGATTTTAGCAAAAGGATCATTTTTAAATTAATGTTTTATTGCATAAAATGAGATAACAGTCTAGTTAAATTTAAAAATATTACATTCATTACCTAAAGTTTTTGATAATTTCTAAAGATTTAATTAAAACAACTCACACACAGCGATGCTATACGTTAACCACTATTCGGGTGATAGATTAGCATTATCCATAGATTTAATATGAGTACAATAGACTTTTCATAGACTTAGCACTTAGCACTAATTTCATAGACTTAACATTATTCATAGGATTAGCATTAGTCCCATAGACTTATCATTGTCCATAGACTCAGTATTACCCATGTTAACCATATGTCATAGACTTAACATTGTCCATAGGATTAGCATTGCCACAAACTTTGCATTACCCATTTTAAAGTATAGCCATAGATTTATGCTGTAATCCCATGTTAATTCCCCATAGACTCAAGAATCCCATGTTAAAGTATAGCCATAGACTTAAGCTGTAATGCCATGTTAAATCCCATAGAGCGGGGGGGCCGAGGTGGGAGAGCAGAACGATCTTATAAACCACATTATTCATCGCTGAATTGTGGTTAAAAACCATTTAAATATTATTAAAATGATGAGATTGAGAGAAATTGACTAAATTATATATTAATTACATTAATTATACTTTAAATATTAGTTAAATACATTAGTAATACGGTATGTGTTTATACTTGGAATCAATTGTTATAAATTAATTATATATTGTTAACCATTTCTATTAGAATTGATTAGTAATTCAATATTTGATGATTTTTTGAAAGAAATCAATAAATAGAAAGAAAAACAAAACGATAATAGAGAAAGAATTTGAAATAAAATGATAAATAAACGATAACTATTGCATTAGTCTATAACGGATGACATAAAATTCATTTAAAGAATTGTTTATTTGGTAATTATTATCTAATAAAATAAGTTATATTTAGACAATAAATAAATTGTTAAACAATAGACAACATGAGAGTATATGGGTTCATATGAATGTATGACTAAAATAATGAAATTGGGAGCAAAATTATATGTCATCTCATTTTTGATTGTAATGTAAATCTTTAGATAATACTACAAAAGACCGACAACTAAGCGAAAGAGGCTCTACTGCCAAATGACTGCCGCATCCATTCAAGTGCTTCCGACTTAAACTTAAAACTATTGGAAATACAGAATAATTTTGCTTTTCATCTCATTTTGATTCTGCTTTACTCGAGTGAATTGGTGTCGAGAGTAACGGAAATCGCAAATCAAAATGAGTTATAATATCAAATCAAATGGCAAGAAAATATTGAGAAAATGCATTTAATTTGGTCCCAATGGCGTTGACTTGTTATTACAAATAGGCATTAATTACTGCAAATTGTGACATATATTTTGGGTGTAAACTATCCAATGTTTTTAAAGAAAATGAATAGGGCCATGAGATATTACAGATTCTGGATCTACTCGT